AAAGATATAAGCTGTCAGGGACCGTGTTGAGGAGGGCTACACAGATGAGGATTGGTGGGAGCCTCCCCCTGCTCCCAATCAGGATCCTGAATCTTCCCAGGAGCAGTGGGAGAGTATTAATTTGGAACAGTGGTTCGCAGAGGGACATAGTTCAGAAGACAAAGTTGGGAAGAATTGGGTGGTGAACAGCTAGGAGAAGAAGAACACACACACACACACACACACACACACACACACACACACAGTTACCAGACTCCTGTTTGCTGCAAAGTGCCCAGTTGATCAGTCCAAGGTCATGGAGATTAGATAAGGTAGCTGCACAGAAGGCACAGTGGTTGCGAGATCAGGTTGCAAGAGGAGGAAGTGACAAGGGTGACTCGGGGGGAAGTGGGTGTAGACCTTAATTGGGAGCACCTTTACTCCGAGAATGGACTCTGTTCTTTCGCTGTGATCATTAAAATCTCTTTTAATGGTAAGAGATTATTTTTGCTTTGTTCTGTTTATCCGCGGCCAAAGGGAGGGAGGAAGTTGCTTCCCCGAAGCCTGACATAAGCAGATACTAATATAAGATACACAAATTATTAGAAAGGGAAGGAAAGTAAAAAAATGGAGTAATATCTAAGTAAGTAATACCCAGAACCGGGGCCATCTTAAGCATATGCGGCGCCGGGGTGCAAAGATCCACCTGGCTGCCCCAGGTTGCCCAGAATGTGTCAACCTTTTTTTAGGGGGGGGAACCCCAAAGTTGTTGAGTTGCCGCCTCAGCAACAACAGGGGAGCCCAAGGAGGTGGCGGCAGCAGAGCAAGGCGGGGACCAGGCACGGGGGGGGGGGGCGGGCAAGCAGAACCCAGTGCAACAATAGTCGAGCCTGAGGCTCATGTGAGCAGCGTGCACTGGGTGGGCCTCTTGACGGCCCGCCAATCCCAAGCACACAGGAGGGCTGAACCAACCAGCTGCCTCAGCGCCTCACTTGCCTGCAGCAGAAGAGCTGCCGTGCTCCGACGGGCTATGTTATGCTCGGCAGTGGCTGTCGGTTCTTCCCAATCCCCAGACTCCAAATCTCGGCCCCGGACTCTTAGCCTGGTGCCCCTGAGAGCCCGCGCCTGGGTGCCCTGCACCCCTAGCGCCTATGGGTAAGACGGCCCTGCCCAGAACAGACCCACTTAAATCAATGGACTCAAGTTTAGTGGTGCCTGCCATTTTTTTTGCATACCACAACAGTGTCCTGGATCAGTGTCCTGGTCTTTGGAAGGTACAAAATGGTGGGTAAATTGTGAATATAGTTGGCAGGGTCATATGGAAAAGGCTGCAGTATGAGGAGCATCCGAAGGGATGAAGCTGAGCCATGCACTCAGAAGGTCCTAGGTTCAATGCCCAGCCTGAAATCCTGAGGAACTGCTGCCAGCCAGTGCAGACAATGCTGGGGAATATGGACCAATGGTCTCACTCAGTATAAGGCAGCTTCCTAGGAGATGCATAATCCTCTCCCACAGCGAACGAAGAAGGAATCCATGCCATTACTGATGGATAGCCCCACCCCCAGGAAGTTGTTGGAGAACTTAGAATCATAGGATGTTAGAGCTGGAAGGGATCCAAGGGTCATCTAGTCCAACCCCCTGCAATGCAGGAATCTCAGCTAAAGCATCCATGACAGATGGCCACCCAACCTCTGCTTAAAAACCTCCAAGGATGGAGAGTCCACCACTTCCCAAGGGAAGTCATTCCACCGTCAAACAGCTCTTACTGTCAGAAAGTTTTTCCTGATGTTCAGTTGGAATCTCCTTTTCTTGGAACTTCTCTCCTGTGGAGAAGTGAAATGGTGCGGCAAATAGGGCGGGGAATTCTGGGAAGCCAGTTCTTTGTATAGTGGTACCTCTGGTTACATACTTAATTCATTCTGGAGGTCCGTTCATAACCTGAAACTGTTCTTAACCTGAAGCACCACTTTATCTAATGGAGCATCCCGCTGCTGTTGTGCCGCCAGAGCACGATTTCTATTCTCATCCTGAAGCAAAGTTCTTAACCCGAGGTACTATTTCTGGGTTAGCGGAGTCTGTAACCTGAAGCGTATGTAATCCGAGGTACCACTGTACTCACCAGGAGTTTTACACAGTGGCAGAGAGCGCAGGCTTTACGACATGCACCAGGTGCAGTCAAATTTTGGAGAACACAGCTGCTACTTTGCAATCAGCCTCGGCATACTTTGCTCAGAGGCAAAAGTGACTAGCTTCCTTCCACGATGCTGTAATTGCAAATTTCGCTCAATTAGGGATATGTGTGATGAAGCTCATCTAGGACCTGTGGCCTCCTGTGGCCAACCTTTGCTCCTCAAAGAATACTGTGCACAGGTAAAAGCGTGCGTTTTAAAGATAATTGGGTTTTTCTTTTTCTCTACAGCTACACAAATCTCTTTGCAATGCGGTTTGGCTAGCTCTCTCTGACACATATTCTAGAAGATGCTGGAGTCTAACCAGTAGTGGATGCTGTGGTGGGGCAAAGACGCTGACCTGACCTGCAAACAGGTGAGTCACTGCTGCTGAGTGGGAGGGACAGAGTGAGGTGGGCATTGAGGTGGACGCAGTGCAACTGCACAGAAAGCTAACCACTGGAGGTGGCAGTAAGAAAATTTGTTGGGTATTTTTATCATATGTGGTGGGAATGTAAAAAAGTGAAAAACGTATGGGAAATGATATATAATGAAATGAAAAAAATGTTGAAATATACATTTATTAAGAAGCCAGAAGCATTTTTACTTGACATTGTAGGAGATGATATAAATAGAAAGGATTGTAAATTATTTTTATATGCAATGACGGCAGCAAGAATATTATTGGCACAAAATTGGAAGCAAGAAGAAATACCGACAAAAGAAGGATGGAGGATGAAACTGATGGACTATGCAGAATTAGACAAATTAGCAGGAAGAATTTGAAACCTGCGGGACCGGAGATTCACAGAAGAATGGTTTAAATTTACGGACTATTTGAAAAGTAATTGTGACGATCAGATTACGCTTGTAGGTGTGCAAGAAGTTTTGTAAGGTGAATTATTTGAATTATTGCTAAAACGGTAAAGAGGAGAATTGTTAGTTAAGATAATTGAAGGCAATATGAATTTAAGAAATGCAGAAGAAGTGATAAGAATGGTGGATCATCAGAGGTGCTGATGGAAGTCCAAAAAGATTGTATAAGAAGTGAAGTTTTGTTGTATGTATGATAATTAATACGTTAAAATTAATAAAAATTATTATATAAAAAAGAAAACTTGTTGGGTAAGAGGTGGAAAGGAGCAGCTGGAAGACTGAACAGCAGCTGTCCACACTGCAACTATTTTGTTGTGGTACCTCTTGCCATAATATTAATGCAGAGTGCTGGGGGAAATTTGCAGGAGTCCATTTTTCTCTTCCAACACTGATTTCCTTTCCCTTCCAGGTTCAGACCCAGCATATTGCCTCTTGTTGATTCAGGCTGGGAGATTAGTGATGAGCCATCTCTAAATTTGTCCTTCGAAAATCCTCACTAAATTGCCCCTTTGCCTTTTTCCCTTTCCTACAAGGGGGAGGGGTGGGGAGGCAGAGAAAGCAGGTTTTAATTGCCGGTTTCTTCTCACTATTTAATTGCGCGATATATATATATATAAATATATTTAACACAACACAGAGACCTAATAAAGTTAGACATTCAAGAATAAAATATCTTGATATCCAAAACAAATCCATAAGCTAATATCTGCAAATAACAATAACATATAGAACAAATACAGAAAGCTGGAAACCGATTCACCTCCCTGTAAGCCAATTATAAACTTTAAAGTGCAATAGTTCAATTATAATTTTTCTTTTCTCCTCTCTTAATAGCACTATTTATAGTCCTATTTCATCTTTAAAAAAAAAAAAGGAAAGGAAAAATAACAAGAGGAAATCAGTAATAAAAGCTCCTACTCCCACGGGATGAGAAACAGGCTTTGGGAAATTTAGAGAGGCTGTGCCAGAGGTAAATCAGAGTCCTCAGCCCAGATCAACAGGAAGCAACATAATGGACTGAACTTTCAAAGAGGAAGAGTTCAGCTTAAAGCCACAGCGGATCTGGAAAGTCTTACTAGCACTGTACCTGTTCCCACTGGGTAGGCTGATGCTGCAAGCGGATTTTTTACCACTCCCCCAAAAGGCACAAGTGAGGACAGGAAAAGCTTCATTAACTACGAACCCTGAAATTTTGTATCCCTTACAAACCAGTGCCTTTTCCCCCCTTCATTTTATATGGTTTTGTAGGGGCCCCCAAAACAGAGTAATTGATACATCCAATCAGGGTTCATAGTTAACAACCAGAAATTCAACATGGTCTGATTCACTCTAAATTGGTGCCAAAATGTTATAGGTTAATGAAGCTGATGGGGGAAAACAAACCCCATGGGTTGCTTAGAACTAGCGATGGGGGAGAATTTTGATTCAGTTTGCATTTAAAGGTGAATGTACTTAATCCACATTTTCCAAAGCAATTTGCAAACTGAGACATGGCCACCCTTCGAAATGTGCACTTCTTTGAATTTTGCGGTGCCAAATAAGACTGCATATATTAGTGAAAATAACGTATGAAAAGGCATTATTTTAGGGGGGAATGCCTTGCAAAAATATGTCTTCTTAGGCAAAATTGCATACAAAAATGCGTGGGAGGAATTTGCAATAACATGCGGCTGAATTTTCTCAAGGACTTAAGTAAAAGAATTCAGAAACCAATGCGGAAATGTGGAGAGCTGGGTTTAGGACTGGGAAAATGAGCAAGTGAAATTGACAGATTGAGCCATCCCTATTTAGAACAGGAACAAGTAGTCCATGGACCTCTAGATTTTGCTGGATTAAAACCCTGACCATCGGCTATGTTTGCTGGGCTTTATGGGATCAGGAGTCCAACAATGTCTGGAAAGCCACAGATTCTCTATCCCTGCCTTGGAAAATACCAGAATACAAAATTCAAGGAGAACTTGGGTTGTTTTTTTTTTTAATTAAGCTTCCTGGACAGGTGTAAGATTTTCTGTTTCTGTTGTCCTTAACCCCATTATTCTGAGAGCAGCACCAATGAAATAAATGGGAGCTGGAGGCAAAGCAAAGTCCTACTTTCAGATGAGAGACAGACCTTTATTATGGGAGTCCATTCCTAAAAACACAGGGAAGCATATGGAGCCTTTGAAGCGTTTGGGGGATCATCTTCCACCCCAACAGCAGTTAAGGCTGCAGCCCTCTCGAGAGGAAGAGGAGCTCAGCTGCTGCTTCTTGACATCATCCACCCCGGATACCGCTGGGCTCAGTGCGGCGCCAAACAGAAGGAGCTGGATTGGTTTTTTGGGCATCTTCAGGGGTGCGATGCTGGATAGTCTCACCTGGGAAGCCGTTGTGGGGATTTCCTCAGGGCACCGGGTCCAGCTTGTGTCCTCTGGAACCCAGCTGTAAATCGTATTATAGGAGCGGGTTTCGTCCTTCCCCGCCAACAGGTAGATCTTACCTTGCCATTCCACCGCGCAAGAAAAAGCCAAGGCTATCGGTAGCTCTGGGACAGTGACTTCCCAGCTCACCCTGCCATTCTCAAAGAGGTAAAAGCTCCCTTTGGTGCAGTTGGGGAGCTCCTCAGTGGCCATGGCACTCTGGACCAGGAAATTGCCCCTTTCCTCGGTGTACCCGCCGAAAACATATATCCCGTTACTGACCGAGACAGCCGCTGCACCGTAGCAGGCAAAGTCCATGGGCACCTCATTCCACCAGTCAGCATTTGTGTCGTAGATCAGAAGCCCCTTGTAGCTCCTGGAGGCTTTCCCCCCTACAAGGTAAAGCTTATTCCTGAGCACAGTTGAAGCTGGGTACATCACGGCAAGGGGCAGGCTGGAGATTGGGGCCCAGGCATTCTGCTCAACGCTGAAGGCCTCTGCGGAAGAGAGAGGGCCAGTATCGCTGCAGCCTCCGACAGCATACAGCTTTTTGTCACAGGCCAGAAAGGGGTGGAGGGCCCTGGCTGTGAACATGGATGGGAGTTGTGTCCATTGGCTGGTCAAGGAATCGTACTGATGCAGAGTGTCAACAAAAGAGCAGTCGGCCTTCTGACCTCCAGACAAGTAAAGCTTGCAGCCCATGGAGGCACATCCAGAGTAGCTCAGGTACTTCAGCGGTGGCAACGTTTCCCACTTCTCTGAGTTGGGGTCGAAACAGTACAGGTAAGATTCTGGGTCATCTCCATCCTGGGTCCTGCTCTCGTCGACCTTCAGGCAAGCAAGGCAGTCGTCGTACATGCCCTTCCTGAGCCCGCCACTCGCTTGGAGCCTCCCTGCCCCATCCAGCTCCTTCCACTTCAGACGCACGTGCCTGTAGTACTCTGCGGTGTCCGCCTGGACGTCGATGAGCTCTTCGTGGGTGAGCAGCGAAAAGCGGACATGTCCGAGGAGCTCCTTGTACAGCGGGAGGCGCATGGAGGCCGCAAACTCCACCCAGTTGCGCACAGCCTGGTAGACGATCAGCTCAGAGGGCACTTCCAGGTTGTCTGAGGAGATGAGGCTGATTAAAGCTTTGGGTTCCAGGTTCAGGAAGGCTTCCTGCTTAGCGAGGGGCACAAAGTGTTGCTTGATGTAGCATGAGGCTGCCTCAAGCAAAGGCTGGTGGTTGTGCTGATGAGCCAGGCTGTAAAGGGTGAGGCAGTTGTTCATGGAGATGTTCATCTCGAGAAACCTGGCAGGGAAACAAAAGAGATGCCATCAGTTTTAGAGACCAATGCCTTCTCCCATTGAAATGTTTGGATAAAATATTGCTCTGGGAATTACGTATCTCCCCATGTTGATGTCCCCCCCCCTTCTCTCAACAGAAACATTGAGCAGTTAACAGAGGGGTGCCTCCCCTCCCTGATGCTGTAGACTACAGTTTCCATTATCCTTCCTATCTTGGCTGGGGCTGGTGGGAATTGTAGTCTAAAACATCGGGACAGACCATGTTGGCTACCCCCGGGCTACCAATATCAATAAAAAAATATTTCTATCAACATCATAATGATATGCACAGAGTAGCAGTGTCAACAAAAAGGATGATTACATTCCAAAGAAACTTCATGCCTAAATGGGGCCAATAAAGGGGAAAGCCATTTGGGAAAGAGTTCCTTAACTGTGGGGTGCCGTCACCAAAAAGGCCCTGCGATCCATATTGGTGGTTCCCAAACTTGTTTTCTCATGGACCACTTGTCTTGGCAGGCCACTTAATATCCCCCCCACGGTTGTTGTAGCAATTGTAATACACTGTGCTAGACACGGTGCGGTTTTTAACTGTATTTTTACAGTGGGTCATGATCATCTGCGGACCACAGTTTGGGAACCCCTGATCTATTCAATATTTATGTATAGGTTTTTAAAGGGAATGATAAGAATATTCTCTGACTAATGTTTGGGTTGTTTGGATTCTCTAAGACTTCTCATTGATTTTTCATATGACTAACCCATCCACTCTGTGAATTGCTTCTCTTGCACTTGATGCAGAAGCTACAGTTAGTGCACAATGCTGTGGCAGGTGTTCAGAGTGCAAAGTTGTGCTCCGCCCCACGGGCACCTGGTTGGCCAATGTGCAAACAGGATGCTGCACTAGATGGGCCTTTGGCCTAATCCACCAGGTGTCCTCTTACACCCATATGTTCTTAGGTGTTCAGTTTGCTATGCTTGGGAATGTGGCAGTCTTGCAATGTGTGCAAAAGTTTTAAAATGGAATGGGGCGACTTCCTTGCTGTCAGGGACTGGTCTGGATCGAAAGATTGGGAAATGCAATCACAGGGTGATCAACTCCTAATAGAAGAGGAGGAATATTTCCCCCTCCTTGCTTCCAGCATTTCCAGAAGCAGAGAGACAGGCAGACACAGAAGCTGCACAGAGAGAGGAGCTACCCAGTTATGAGATAGTAGCTAAGCAACCAGAAGGGAGGGAGCAGCTGGGCGATACATCAATTGGGAGTGGGGGGGAACCCCCTCCCTCCCCCCAAACTCAGAGGTCCGAGCGTGTCAGAGAACAAAGGAGACATGGGCAGGGAGAGGGACTTGCTGCAGAAGTGGGGAGGAGTCAGAGTAGGCAACGGATATCCTTACGGAAGTTTGCCTGTTTGTGCTTGCAACATAATGCTGTAATAGAAGGACTACAGATCTACCAAATGCTTGCTAATTCTAATCAGTGAGAAGGGAGAAGGGAACTCCTGTACTTCTTTGTATCCTGTCTTAGTTTCATGATGTTAGCCGCCCTGAGCCCGGCTCTGGCCAGAGAGGGCGGGGTACAAATAAAAATTTTAAATTATTATTATTGACTTGACACTTGCATTACCTTCCAGCAGTCTCTTTCAGTGGAAGGATCTGGAGCTTGCTAGCTGCAGTAAAGAGGTCCTGGGCAGTTTCTGCAGTGAGAGACACCTCTTCCGTGTAGAGATAGTCCAGCAGGCAATGGAGTGTGGAAGCAGTGATGTCCTCAAGCTGGATCTCCCCATTGTGTGACTCAGAATGGACGAACATATCTCTGAAATAAGGACTGACTGACGCCAACAGCATCCTGCATTTGGAAAGAAGAAACGTGCACATTATTTATTAGCTATATTTACTGGAGAGGGGACCATAGCTGTCAACTTTTCCCTTTTCTTGCGAGGAATCCTATTCAGAATAAGGGAATTTCCCTTTAAAAAAGGGAAACGTTGACAGCTATGCAGGGGACCCCCCCCACTATTATTGCCTTCTAGGCATTGTGCAGGAAAAGAGTAAAGCCAAGTAAAATCACAAAAACCAGAACAAGCTTCAAAATGCAGTTTTAAAACACTGAGGGTAAGCTGCATTACAAACAGCAGAAGTAGAGAATTTAGAATTTAATAGAAACACTTAAAAAGCCTGAGAGAATGAAAAGGGTTGGGGTTTTTTTTGTCTGGTACCAAAAATGCATTAAATTAGTTGCCAGGTGGGCCTGTCAGGGGAGAGCATTCTATACATGTGGAGCCACTACTGAGGAGGCCATGAATCATGAAAGGGAACAAGAAGATTCTCTGACTAATGTTCTTTTTCTTTTTTGGCCATGGAAAAGGGAGAGTTGTTTGGATTCTCTAAGACAGGGTTTCCCAAACTTGGATCTCCAGCTATTTTTGCACTACAATTCCCATTATCCCTGAGCACTGGTCCTGCTAGCTAAGGAGGATGGGAGTTGTAGTCCAAAAACAGCTGGAGACCCAAGCTTGGGGAACCCTGCTCTAAGACCTCTCAGTGCTCTTTCATTTGACTGGCCATCCAGTCTTCCTGGACCTTTCTCAGGTTTAGGACAGAGTGGCACTATATTGTGGGGTGCCCTCTGGTGCTTTCGGAAGGTAATGTGGAGTCATAGCTGCTCTAACTAGTGACTATTCTTCTGTGGGATATCACAAGGTTCCTTTGTTGTTGTTGTTTAGTCATTTAGTCGTGTCAGACTCTTCGTGACCCCATGGACCAGAGCACGCCAGGCACTCCTGTCTTCCACTGCCTCCCGCAGTTTGGTCAAACTCATGCTGGTAGCTTCGAGAACACTGTCCAACCATCTCATCCTCTGTCGTCCCCTTCTCCTTGGGCCCGCCATCTTTCCCAACATCAGGGGCTTCTTCAGGGAGTCTTCTCTTCTCATGAGGTGGCCAAAGTATTGGAGCCTCAGCTTCAGGATCTGTCCTTCCAGTGCACTCAGGGCTGATTTCCTTAAGAATGGAGAGATCTGATCTTCTTGCAGTCCATGGGACTCTCAAGAGTCTCCTCCAGCACCATAATTCACAAGCATCAATTCTTTGGCGATCAGCCTTCTTTATGGTCCAGCTCTCACTTCCATACATCGCTACTGGGAAAACCATAGCTTTAACTATACGGACCTTTGTTCCCAACACTGGAGAAAAATCTGCATTCAGATGCAAGGAGTCCCTCGATTTGAACTGTGGTGGCATCCATATGTTGACAAGACTCTATTTCTCTCTTTTTCATCCAATTCAGCTGTCCTTGTGTCTTCCTGGATTGCCTAGATGCTATTCTGGACAGAGTGAGACCTAATAGGTTGAAACTCAAGGCAGATGTGACAGAGGTGATGATAACTCTCAAGCCTTGGTGTTGGGCAGCTTCCTCCAACCTGCTGCCCTCCAGAGGTTTTGGACAGCAACTCCCATCATCCCTGACTATTGGCCATGCTGGAAACCACCAGAAGGGAAAGAGTTAGGTAGGGGATTTATATTTCTGGATACAAGCACCGAGTAAGTGTATGGCTCAAGTCCTAGAACTTCCACAGGACCACATGGGACCCAAAAGCCATTTAGATCTACCTGCTGAAAAGTTCCTTCTACATAAAACAACATTGTCCCTGTTGTGGTGGGAAATAGGCCAGGATCAAAACAAGTTTTGTTTTGTCTGCAAGGGGTTACCACTGCCTGCAATGGTACAGACTCACCTGTGGCAAGGAAAGCTCTTTCCTTCCACGCCCAAGGTGACATCGCATAGCTGCTGGGTCTGGTATAGCTGTTTCAAGCCTTAAAAAGAAGAAAGGAAACAAAGCTGTTGTTACTCTCTCTCCACACAACAGCGAGATTTTGGGGAAATGGAATTATAGAACCAGAAGTAACCCTGAAGCTCATCAATTGTCAGCATGGATTTCTGAAAAATAAGTCATGTCAGACTAACCTGATCTCGTTTTTTGACAGAGTTACAAGCCTGGTAGATGAAGGGAACGCAGTGGATGTAGCCTACCTTGATTTCAGCAAGGCATTTGACAAGGTGCCCCATGATATTCTTGTAAAGAAGCTGGTAAAATGCAGTCTTGACTATGCTACCACTCAGTGGATTTGTAACTGGCTGACTGACCGAACCCAAAGGGTGCTCATCAATGGTTCCTCTTCATCCTGGAGAAGAGTGACTAGTGGGGTGCCACAGGGTTCTGTCTTGGGCCCGGTCTTATTCAACATCTTTATCAACGACTTGGATGATGGACTCAAGGGCATCCTGATCAAATTTGCAGATGACACCAAACTGGGAGGGGTGGCTAACACCTAACACCCCAGAGGACAGGATCACACTTCAAAACGACCTTGAAAGATTAGAGAACTGGGCAAAAACAAACAAGATGAATTTTAACAGGGGGAAATGTAAAGTATTGCACTTGGGCAAAAAAAATGAGAGGCATAAATACAAGATGGGTGACACCTGGCTTGAGAGCAGTACATGTGAAAAGGATCTAGGAGTCTTGGTTGACCACAAACTTGACATGAGCCAACAGTGTGACGCGGCAGCTAAAGCCAATGCAATTCTGGGCTGCATCAATAGGAGTATAGCATCTAGATCAAGGGAAGTAATAGTGCCACTGTATTCTGCTCTGGTCAGACCTCACCTGGAGTACTGTGTCCAGTTCTGGGCACCACAGTTCAAGAAGGACACTGACAAACTGGAACGTGTCCAGAGGAGGGCAACCAAAATGGTCAAAGGCCTGGAAACGATGCCTTATGAGGAACGGCTAAGGGAGCTGGGCATGTTTAGCCTGGAGAAGAGGAGGTTAAGGGGTGATATGATAGCCATGTTCAAATATATAAAAGGATGTCACATAGAGGAGGGAGAAAGGTTGTTTTCTGCTGCTCCAGAGAAGCGGACACGGAGCAATGGATCCAAACTACAAGAAAGAAGATTCCACCTAAACATTCGGAAGAACTTCCTGACAGTAAGAGCTGTTCGACAGTGGAATTTGCTGCCAAGGAGTGTGGTGGAGTCTCCTTCTTTGGAGGTCTTTAAGCAGAGGCTTGACAACCATATGTCAGGAGTGCTCTGATGGTGTTTCCTGCTTGGCAGGGGGTTGGACTCGATGGCCCTTGTGGTCTCTTCCAGCTCTATGATTCTATGATTCTATGATTCTATGATTCTATGGTCTAACCCTGAAGCTCAGCACAGGCTCTGTAATGTAGAATGCAGCAACAGCTTCCCTGACAAGTAGCCATATAGCTCGGCGTAGATACTATTTGTGGAGAGCCCACCACCTCCTAAAGCAGTCTGTTTAATTCTGAGCATCAGGCTGTTTCTCATAAACTGTAGCTTGGGAATCTTTGCTTCCCTGCAATTTCCACCCATTGGTTCTAAGTTCTCTGGAGCAACAGAGAATACGTCTGCTCCAACATTTGCAAAGACAGTCTTTCAGATATCTGAAGGCAACTGTTATGTCCATCTCCTAACCTTCTCTTCTCCGGGCTTACCACACCCAACTCTTCCTTTTAAAAAATCCTTTATTATTTTGTTCACATCATATACATTCTTTACAACAAACAACTCCAAAATAAACAGATAACTCCAAAATAAAATCATATGTAACAAAACCATAAGTCTCATGTTTTCCTTTACACTGATCTCCTCTCCGATATCTTTACTTGATATTTCTTGCTGCTTTCTGCTTTCCTTATAGAATCTTTATGAAAATTTAAATCTCTTAAATCCTATACCAATCTTTAACAGTTTCAATTAATCGCGTCACCTCCCTCCCCCACAGCCCAGTACTTCCCTCCACCCATTTTTTTTTGGGGGGGGGGTGAAATCGCTTTTATTTGATTTTACAAATGTAAATTTATAACAAAACCAAATACATATCCATATAGAGAGATTTCTCTGGATCTCAAGACTCCCCCCTCCCATCTGATCCATGGGTCCTACTGTCAACATTTTCAACTGCATATTATTTCATAATCTACATTTTAAATCTATCCACATTGTCCATAGTATTTGTTACATTACAAGTGAGATTAAAATCCTGCTGATGTTTTCATCTGCTTACAGTTGTCTCCTAAATAAATTGTAAATCCCCCCCATTCTTTCTTTAAGTTTTTGTCTTCTTGGTCCCTGAGCTTTCCAGTCAGTTTTGCCATTTTGGCGTAGTCTAAAAGCTTGATTTGCCATTTCTCTCTTCTTTCCACACCTAACTCTTCCAACTGTTCCCTGCAGGACTTGGTTCCCACCACCCAGGAGTGAGCCATCCCATTTCCCACCACTCGGGAGATCATGAGACTTACCCTGACATAAATAGGCTTCATGAGACGGAAGAGGTTTTTCTATGCCATCCTCTTCGTCGCTATCCCTCAGGGAATCCATTATCCCAGCCTCTAAAAAAGGCTCAGGAATCACTCGGCAGCTTCATCACATTCACCTATCTGGAAATAGAAAAAGACTATAGAGCTCAAACAGCCTTTCCCACTAACTCAGCCTTGTGTGGTGTAGTGGCTAATGTGTCAGACTAGGACCTGGGAGACCAGGGTTCAAATTCTCACTCGGCCATGAAGTTCACTGGATGACCTTGGGCCAGTCACTGCCTTTCAGCTTAACCTACCTCACAGGGTTGTTGTGGGAAATTCAGCGAGAAGAACCATGCACACCACCTTAAGTTCCTTGGAGTAAAGGTGGTATATACCGTATTTTTCGCACCATAAGATGCACTTTTTTCCTCCTAAAAAGTAAGGGGAAATGTGTGTGCGTCTTATGGAGCGAATGGCGCTGTGCAGCTCTCCCTCTCTGCGCAGCACCTCTTCAGCGAAGCGGGAGGAAAAACGGAAGGGGCTCCGTTTCTCCTCCCGCTTCTCTAGAGAGGCACTGCGCAGAGAGGGCCACCTTAACCTCACTGGGTTATTGTGAGGTTGTTGTGTGATAGCCCTTGTATAGCCCCCAGAGCAACTTGACAAACAGACAGGAGAACATTATTCTTGTTTTCCCTCTTCAGTCAGTCTTGGATTCCATCACTGCCCAAACCATGTGCCTCTATCTCTCCAAACGGCCAGATGATCCCATCTTTTTTTTCTGGGGCTTCCTGTGAGAGAATGAAATCCAAGCACTAATGCCTGTTAAAATGCTTCTCCTGTTCACTTGCAAAATCAAGCTTTTGTAAAGAGGCTCTACAGAAATAAAAGATTCAGAATATTTTTTTTCTTGTTTTCCTCCTCTAAAAACTAGGTGCGTCTTATTGTCGGGTGCGTCTTATAGAGCGAAAAATACGGTAAATGCAATAAAAAATAAAATAAATCCCCCAACTTGGCACACTCTCGATGTTTTTGATTACAATCTAGCTTTAGCCTTGGCCAGCATGACAAATGGTCAGGGATGATGGGGTTGCCCAAAACATCTAGAGGGAACCCGATTAGGGAAGGCTGTCCTAATCCAAGTTCTTGAAATCCTAGGCTATGAAATTTTTTCTCAGTTCCACATCCTGCCTCTTAGAGTGTGGTGCTGATAATGCCAAGGTTGCAGGTTTGATCCCCGTACGGGACAGCTGCTTATTTCTGCATTGAAGTATGTTGGACAAGTTTTGCATCAAATCGGGTAACCAATTTGGGTACCCAAAAATCATACTGCCACTAAATATAGAATTTGTTTTGTCAGCTACAACCTGTGATCAACCTATTTCCAAAGGGAAAGGGAGAATTATGGCTATCGTCTAGGATTCAGCTTCCTATTCCTGTCCAAGAGTTTCCAGGAGCTTCTGATCTGGAATTTCTCACAGATGTTAGGTTTACTTTTAACTTTTTTTTGACATTAAATTTTTTTTAAGGACACTTTTTAATTTAATTGCTAACATGCAAACATAGTACTTGCAGATTTGAACATAGGTGTTTCAGACCGCAGCATTGCAAAGGTATTGTGTTCTCATGATACCACAATACATTTTCTCATAAAAATGTCTCCAGCCATGTAACCACCTGATACTGTAAACTTTCATGTTTCCTGCCTCTAAGAATGGCGATCCCAAGATTACCCCAAGACATTTTGCTGCCTCTGGTGAAGGACAAAATCGTGCCCCACTTCCTAGTCCACCTACAAAAGATGGCCAAAATGTCTGTTGACCCTTTGTTCAACACTGCTGACAAGACAGCATCATCCACTGTATACTACTACTACTACTACTACTACTAATTTATTTATACCCCACCCATCTGGCTGGGTTTCCCCAGCCACTCTGGGCGGCTTTCAACAGAATATTAAAATACAATAGTCTATTAAACATTAAAAGCTTCCCTAAACAGGGCTGCCTTCAGATGTCTTCTAAAAGTTTGGTAGTTATTTTTCTCTTTGACATCTGGTGGGAGGGGTTCCACAGGGCGGGTGCCACCACCGAGAAGGCCCTCTGCCTGGTTCCCTGTAGCTTTGCTTCTCGCAGCAAGGGAACCGCCAGAAGGCCCTTGGTGCTGGACCTCAGTGTCCGGGCAGAACGATGGGGGTGGAGACGCTCCTTCAGGTATACTGGACCAAGGCCGTTTAGGGCTTTAAAGGTCAGCACCAACACTTTGAATTGTGCTCGAAAACATACTGGGAGCCTGTGTAGGTCTTTCAAGACTGGTATTATGTGGCCTCGGTGGTCACTTCCAGTCAGAGGTTAGCTTTGGGGTCACATTAGCAGGCTGTGTGCGACACACAGGTCTGTTCTCCAACACCTCACAGCTGCGTCCTGAAAAACTTCATGCCAGTCTCAGACAGCTGCTGCACTCTACCCAATGGTAGGGCTGGACCTCAGTGTGCCCGTGTGTATATGTGACGATAACTGCTAACCTGTGTTGCAGAGACAAGGCCTCAATTTTTTTTTCTAGGCTTGCATAGCGGGGGAATCAAAGGAAGAATGATAATGGTCGCCTCCCCTCTATGTTCCAACGGCTCCAACTGCCAGTGGATGGCTCTTAAGGGGGCAGGCACCTCAGGTACACAATGTACTTTAAATGTGTAGTGTGCACACAGTAAGGATGGCTTTTGTCATTCCAGGACTATCCCTGGAAAACTGGGACACTTGGAGAGTATGGACCTTTAACCACTGTTGCTGATTTGGTGGGGTAGAGCAGGTATTCAGTGCTGCAGTAGGCAACCTTAATGTCTTTCTTAACGCGCTCTCTCTCTCTCTCTCTCTCTCTCTCTCTCTCTCTCTCTCGTGGAATCTAGACACATATAAAAATGTTGCGAAAACGCTTTTTTAAAAAAGGTTTTGAAAAATGTATCTAATTTGCCATAGCTCACCATTGCCATCTAGTGTTACATTTCTATAATGCACTTTACAACACAAAACGTTTTATTTGCAGCTGTTTAGCTGAGTTCTGTCTGTCTCTGTCTCTTGAAATGTATCTCTCACTAGAATCAAATCAAGCGGAAAAGAGAGATGTTTCAAAAACTGTGAACTCTGGCTATTTCCAACAACAGCAAGAGCCTGTGGCTGAAAAGCTACAAAAGCACCAGTCACCCTTTTTGGGGGATTTTTTTGCAATTGCTTCAAATAGCTAGAGGAGCTCCCCTCACCCCCCCCCCACGTTCCTTCTCTAGCCTATCATTTTCTTTAACCTCAAAAGGCGCCTGAATGATGCCCTTCAGAGGTCTTTGAAGCACCAAACTTTTCAATAGCACGTGTCACAAAACTTGCACCTGAGGCTCTGAGAATGCCAAGGCTGGAATTGCAAGATATCATTGCTTATCGAGCCAACTGCTGAGTGACACCAAAGTCAGTTCCATGTCGATGGAGGTGATTGTAGTAATGTCTCAAGCACAAAAAAATACTGGTTGTTGTTACTTCTTCTGGCCACATCTCCTACTTCACAGGTTACAATCGCCTCAAAAACCACCACATTAGACGTAGCAATGCTTCTGAATAGAAGTTGCTGGAAACCACAGGAGGGGACAGGAGAAGAAGGCTCTTGTGCTCAGATCCTGCTGAGCATCCCACAGGTGTCTAGTACCACAGGCACCCCTGACCATTAGGTCCAGTCGTGACCGACTCTGGAGTTGCGGCGCTCATCTCACTTTATTGGCCGAGGTAGCCAGCGTACAGCTTCCGGATCATGTGGCCAGCATGACTAAGCCGCTTCTGGTGAACCAGAGCAGCGCACGGAAATGCCGTTTACTTTCCCGCCGGAGTGGTACCTATTTATCTACTTGCACTTTGATGTGCTTTCGAACAGCCACTGGGAGTGCGGAATTAAATGGTCCATTGGCTGACCCACCAGGCTCTTGTTATGCTCTTATGTGGAAGGATATTGTGAAATTGGAGAAGGTTCAGGATAGGGCAACTGAAATGATCAAGGGGGATGAGGAACTCCCCTAAGAGAAAAGGTTACAACATTTTAGTTTACAGCTTTGTAGTTTAGGGTAAAGGTAAAGGGACCCCTGACCATTAGGTCCAGTCGTGGCCGACTCTGGGGTTGCGGCACTCATCTTGCTTTATTGGCTGAGGGAGCTGGCGTACAGCTTCCAGGTCATGTGGCCAGCATGACTAAGCCACTTCTGGTGAACCACAGCAGCGCACGGAAATGCCATTTACCTTCCCGCCGGAGTGGTACCTATTTATCTGCTTGCACTTTGATGTGCTTTCAAACTGCTAGGTTGGCAGGAGCAGGGACCGAGCAATGGGAGCTCACCCCGTCGCGGGGATTTGAACCTCTGACCTTCTGATTGGCAAGTCCTAGGCTCTGTGGTTTAACCCACAGCACCACCCGCGTCCCTAGAGAAAAGGTAAGTGTATAGAACTATTCATGTGTGGAGAAAATGGAGAAGGAGAAGTTTTATCTTCCTCTCTCATTCTTCTTCTTATTTGGCGATCACTCTTAGCCAAGTAATAATAATAATAATAATAATAATAATAATAATAAATTTTATTTATACCCCACCCTCCCCGGCCAGAGGTGGTTAACACCAGTAAAATTACAGCAAAAACATAATAGGGAAAAAACCCAATTTAAAATACAGGTTAAAATGCAGCCTCATTTTAAAAGTAGCCCATAGATCAAAACCATAAGGGGAGGGAAAAATAAGGGTTAGACTGAGTCCAAACCAAAGGCCAGGTGGAACAGCTCTGTCTTGTAGGCCCTGCAGAAAGATGCCAAGTCCCGCAGGGCCCTAGTCTCTTGTGACACAGCGTTCCACCAAGTCAGAGCCAGTACTGAAAAGGCCCTGGCCCTAGTAAGATTGTCTTCCATAAACAGGTTTTAACAGTGAGTCCGTAAGTGGTTGTGGAGGCCATTTCTGGACCCACACATCCTTCCACAGTGGGGGGACATAGGTTTCTGGGTGGGAGTTGATCACGGTGTGGATTTGCCAAGCGTGCCTTCCTCTTAGCGCCTTTCTCCCTTTCGTCCTGAGTTTGAGTGTCTTCAGAGTCAATGACACCTTTGGTAAAGGCTGTTCTCCAACTGGAGCGCTCGCAGGCCAGTATTTCCCAGTTGTTGGTGTTTATACTACATTTTTAAAATAGATTTGCCTTGAGAGAGTCTTTAAACCTCTCTCATAACACTAGAATGTGTGGACATCCAATGAACTGTTGAAAGATTCAGAATTGATAAAATAAAGTACTTCTTCACATGGCACATAGTTAAACTGTGGAACTCACTGTCTCAGAAGGCAGTGATGGCCACAAACTTAGATGGCTTTAAAAGAGGATTGGGCAGATTCATGGAAGATAAAGCTATTAACAACTTCTAGATTGAGTGGCTCTGTTCAGCATCCACTGTTGGGGGCAATATGCTTCTGAATACCAGTTGCTAGAATCCTGCTGCCCACAGAGGAGCAATGACATCTCAATAGGCTTAATCTTCTGTATCTTTTTCTATGTAGCAGATCTGTTATGTACTGAAGTTCTCACCCTGGGCCAGCAGGGGGATATTGTAGATAGTTATGCAAATAAGGGATCGAAAGTGACATTCAGTGATTGGATAGTTTTAGAAAATTGTTACAGTTACGTTGTACTGGCGCTCTATATGAGCAGGCTGACTGAACCCTTCAATTCAGTTCTGTTCTGGCCTGTGAATAAACAAGAGCTGTTTGAAGAATCACTGTGTCGTCTGATATGTTCACCCACAACTTAACAAGATCCCTCTCCTAGTCAGCAGAATACATTTTTCCTGTGCTACTCAGCTCAGAAATTATGCATCAGCACACCATCAGCACGGTTGTGCAGGCAATGAACCAGCAACTGGCCGGTTCTTAGTCAATACAGCAATGTTGACTTGTTATCCAGAGGCAGCTGTACTCAAAGCATCACATTTCAGGGATGAAAATGTAATGGTTCTTGCCCTGATCTGCCTGCCTGTCTGCCTTCGAGATGAATGATTAAAGAACGTGAAAGATGTGCAAGTTCTATTCTAAATTCTGCACCAGGAAAACACAAATTCATGCAAATAAAGAATGATTCTCCGCATTCCTTGTTTGTTTATTTGGTTGTTTTTGTGTGTTTTTTAAACCCAAAAACATAAAGTTGCTTGTCAATTTACTTTGATTTCATCTGCGGAATTAGGAGTTTAAAAAATGGCGGTGGCAAGAGGCGACGTACGAGTAAACGAGTGACAGCATAATATAACCAACAACTACAGTATGAAGATGAAACTTGTTATTAATATAGCACTTTCCCCCTGGAGTGCTCACATGCATTATCTCAATAACCTTTGCATCAACTCTGCAAAGTAGACCAATATTTTGTTATTATTGTCAAATGGGGTGGTTGGTGCTAAGCCTGAAATTGCAGTGAGTTAATGTCTAAGGCTGCATACACACCATGTATTTTAAGCACAACTTCCCCTGGATAATTTTGGGAACTGTAGTTTGTTAACAGCACGGCGTGAGGAGCAAACTACAGTTCCCAGGATTCTTTGCAGGGGAAGCCATTTTTTAAAAAATGTACTTTATATGTAGGGTAAGTACACAGGCTATTCTGGAAATTTGTTCCAGGGAAATGCAGTTCTTCAGCTCTTCAGCCATTCTCTTAATAACAGTAGCCAATGCGCTCCTCTCCAAAGGCTGGGTTACAAATGCCACTATCCAAAACCATTGTCTGTGCTTGTTCTGCAGATGGGAGTTGTAGTCCAACAACTTCCGGATGGCACCATTGTTGAGTGGTGGGACAGCGGTAAGACTGCTAGCATCTTTGCAAAGCTAAGCAGGGTCTGGTATGGTTTCAAATTGGATGGGGTACTGTGTGCTGAGATTCCTTCACTGCAGGGGTTTGGCCTTGATGACCCTTGGAGTCTTTTCCAAGTCTACAATTCTATGATTCTATGAGGTCTACCAGTGTTCAAAGAGATCCATTTGGCCTTGGGTTGGGAGCAACCATGTTTGTGCTGTTGTTCCAAGTACAGTGGTACCTCGGGTTAAGTACTTAATTCGTTCCGGAGGTCCATTCTTAACCTGAAACTGTTCTTAACCTGAAGCACCACTTTAGCTAATGGGGCCTCCCGCTGCTGCCGCGCCGCCGGAGCACGATTTCTGTTCTCATCCTGAAGCAAAGTTCTTAACCCAAGGTAATATTTCTGGGTTAGCGGAGTATGTAACCTGAAGCATATGTAACCCGAGGTACCACTGTACCACTTCCTGGAAATGATACGATAAAGATACGATAATCTTTATTGTCATTGTCCCATACAGAACAACGAAATGGAAAAACCTACATCAGACATTCAAAACCCACAAGCCTGCTATCCCAGCTATCCCAACCTGGTTAGCCCCCTGGAAACTCTGATACCCCATGTTTAAATACAATATACTCCCATAGAGACTCCTTATACTGTGTTTAAAACCAAAAGTGGTGTTGGCACTTGCCATTCTTATGATAAGAAATGCTCTGCTGGGGGAGGGGGACAAAAATAGGGGGTTGAGGAGGGTCAGTTGTGGGGAGAGTGAGAAATGTCCCTATTTTCATCT